AAAGATTTTCTTTCTTTCTGTGATAGAAATGTGTAAGGAAAATAGGACCAATTCTGCCGGAGTTTAATCATAGATTTAGGTGCTTCTATTTTGGCACCAGATGGCACAACACATGGGTAGAGTATTGCTGATGAAGCACTGCAGATATTAGTTTTTTGTGAAGAGGGTTGTCGTGAGTCACACTTTGGGGAAATCAGCATTTAAATATTGCAGTGACAGACAGTATGCAAACATTATATGGCAAACGAAATTGTGAGTTGACCCTGAAAACTGAATGGCTAGTGGTCGTAAAAACAGCAGCTGAAGTGAAATAAATCAGAGTAAGAGATTTCCAAGGAAAACTACAATGATCAACTGATGGAGTTATGAGCCTAGCGTTTCTCTTAAAAATAGTTAAGGCTATTACTTTTCTCCAAGCTTACTGTTAACTCACTCCATTCACAGGAAGATAAAATGGATATATGTTTTCTGTTTACATAGCTCTTAATAGAGGCTGCATTTAATGTATTTGGAGTTTAAGCTACTATAGCGTCAACATTGCTCTAAAAACCAGTGGACAATATCTTGATCAATTCAGTCTGCTTTCTCTAGGGTGACCTGATCATTACCCTGCTGTTCTGTTTTTTTTTTTTTTTTTAATCTTAGTCCACTGTTTTCCCAAAGGAAGTTTGGAAACACAGAGGGAACAGGCTGTTGACCAGAAGAATTGCTCTAGCAGCAGCTAGCCACTTCCAGATGTGGTCATCTTAAAGAATCCCTCTGTTAGCAAATCAGAGATATCTGCTGGTAATGTGATGGAAAGCGGCCAAGGGACCTCAGGGAGGAAAACACGCTTTTAAGAGCTGAGTTGTTCTGGCAATAGCCACCCAGTTCTGGCCCTGCTGTTTCCGGGGACTGTGCAAAGTGCTCAACAGCACCTACGTGTGCACGTGCCATGGTTCTGCACATACGGCTCTGAACCTGCTGTGCCTGGGAGGCATGCCTTTTTCCTGCTACGGACCCCAAAGCCAAGTGAACTGTTCTGCCAGAAAGACACTGGGCAGAATTGATCAAATCATCCCATATTTTTGGATCAGCCAAAGCTTTGAAATGATCTTGTAGTAAACTTTCAGTTCTTCCATATACAGATCATCTTTGCATGATGTGTAGCAAGGCTTGCACACTGCATGCATTCAGGATGGCACATGACAAATATTTTTGTTCTTAAAAGACAGAGAGAACAAGTCAGAGAAGGAAAAGAAAAGCTACATGTTTATATACCTGTGGTAAGCTGGTCAGCTGAGCTTGTTTCTCTTCAGTTATGACCTGAAGACATAGCATGTGATGGGAATTTTCTCTTCTCGGTTGTGGGTCAGGAACTCTTTCAACAGAAGAACACTGTTTTAAATTGCCTGCCTGAACAATTAAAGGTCTTCTTAAAAAAACAAGCAGAATTTTTTTTTTGTCTTTTAGTAGTTGAAAACAAGCTATGAAAGATCTGTTTCCATTACACATGTATTTAATGGTTAAACCTAGTTTAAAAGCTGCTCAGGGAACTCTGGGGAACTGAGCGTTTATTAATTGTGCCTTACTAGTGTATTGTGATATGTCTAGGCTTTTTCCTCCTCCTTTCTGAAATGAATTTGGTTTAATTATAATACAGGAAAAGACAGATATGTGGGATTGTATGTCATTAAATACTATAAAAGAGGTTTTTATTCTAAATAATCCATTAGAAAACTTAAGTGGTTTTCTAATAGTAAAGTAATGCAAATATTTCTTAGCCTTGTTTTCTCTCCTGCAACTTCTGCATTGTCTGCAACTTTGTGTCACCTGACAGGAGAAATCTGAGGACCTGGATATCATCATATCACATGGGAGACTGTTGAATTCCCTGCAGAGGGACTGCCTGTGGGGCTTGATAACTTAGTCTTCCCTCCCATTCTGGCCCTGGGCTTTTCTGCCTGTTTGCAGGCAGATTGCAGGACAGTTGCAGAGACTGGAGGCAGCTGATACACCCACATGCTGCACAACGGAGCCCTGTGCAGAGGTACTCACGAGGGTCCCAAGAGGAACAGATCTGCGTTAGCATAGCCTGGGGTGTGAACTACTAGGCCAAGATACTCCAGTTCAACTGTTTTCCAGTTCTGGAGCTAGCGCACAATAACGCAGAGTTTCTGAAGCTACCAGTAACTGCTAGCAGGGGCAGTGATTGTTTCTGGATGATGGCTGCCTGTCTGCCAGGATCTGGCTTGACATTAGCCATCGTGTTATGCAGCCCAGAGAGCAGTTGGCAGCAATCCAGCTCCTATTGATATGTCCTGGATTTGAACTAATGATTTACATCTCTAAGAGATAAACATCCTCTGAAAGGATCTCTAATTCTTAAATAATCTTTTGAACTACATTTCCTCTTTGCACTTTTATGTAAGCATGAGTAATATTTTTAGTTAGGGAAATGAATTCATGCTTCAATGAACATGGAAAATGTTTCTTAGTGTGAAAAAATACTGAGCTATAGGGGTTCCGCTAGCATGAAACTCTGCTGCATCTCCCAGTAAGTCAAACTCTTTTAAGCTTTCTAAGCAGATTGTCTGAAATATTAGAGAGGAAAAGAAAGTCAATGTATTTCAGGAGTTAGATATCCCTGAAATTAAGTATTGGGGAGGAATAAGCTTGTAGGCCTGTGACGTATTGTGGCATTTCACAAAGCTTTAAAAAATTTAGTTGGAATCTCGGCTGTACTGTAAGCAACAGAATAGGCTCCTTTTGTAGATGTTGTAAACACAGTGAGTCTCCAGGGCAGTTGTTAGTGTGTTATTTTCTGAGTCATATGAAGAAGCAGCAAGAAAGACAAGGCAGAGTTGACACACACACACTCATTTTCACTATTGGGCCACAACAATGACAAGAATTTACAACTCCAGCTTAACACGAGAGATTACAACTGCCTATCCAACTGTGCAAAAATTCTGATTATTCCTTTGGTATATGTAGGACTGCTGAAGTAGCTAATAATTTAACAAACCGTAAATTGTTAATCATCACATGTTTTCACTCCCAAATCTCATGCTTGCAGGCAGTGACAGGAGTGGCTTATTCCGGAGAGGCGAGTATCCTAGAATCAGATGAGCTTTTGGAAGAACCAGTGTTTCAGCACTTAACATTCAGTCCTATTTTTCTCTCTGTTCTGGAGTTTCAGTGTGATAACAGCTCTTCCTATAGGAACAGATATGCTAATGTTACTTCCTTCACTTTATGCTAGCTCCATCAAAAAGGAAAAAAATCTTTCAAGACTATATATATAATATATATGTGTGTGTCTGTGTATACACACACAATTTTTTTTTTCATAGTGTTGTCTGCATGACTTAATAGTGGTGACATGTAGATCCAGTCTTGGAAAGACACGTACTATGTAATACTAGCAATTTTTACTCTACACAGCTGTTTTGGAAGCAAGCTGGCTTCTTTTCTATTTCAGCCTAATTTGGGTGTCTAGAGATAGATGGCTTTAGCTGTGGGGAACTGAGGCTGATTTAGTTATTGTCTGGTTATTTGGCATAGTGGCAGCTTCTATGTTATGGCTTGTGACCATGTAATAAGGTTTGGGAGTTTCCAGTTTTTATTCCAAAGAAAACATTGCTAAAGCAGACTACTCCACCCTTACAGTACCTCTGAGACACGTTCCAGCAATGATCCACCTCCAGAATCTCTTTTTTGTAACGAGGCAGGTATAAAATCCATCTTTCAGTATACAAATACGAGGAAGTATTTGATCTTGGCATGTGCCAAGAGCATGCAATTCTTAAAGGGAGCTTGCTCTATGAAGGCACACTAGACACAGCACACCTGAGTCTGTGTGACCAATAAACATTTAAAAAAAAAAAAAAAAAA